AGTGGCATTATCTTCTTATATGTAAAATGAACACACAGAAAACAAGGTAATACAGTCACCAACAAAAATCTCCTAGGAAGGAGAAACAAGATTTTTTAATGACCACAAGAAATCAGGATCTCAGTTTTAGCTGCCATCTAGGGAATGAATATAAATATACAGCCTATAAATCTGCCCCACTCATTGGAGACTCTTAAGATATGCTTAACATCACTAACCAAAACAATCTCACTTCATCCTCATCTTGCAACTTGTTCTCCTTCTGTCACCTCCTGATCACTTGTCCCATTTTAGTTTAGACTCAATTCCATCCATAAAGGAACTGCATATTCTATTAGCTTTATATTAGGTTATCAGTTTCCTCAACACTACTCTGTCCAGCATAGAGCAGTTCAGCATTCACTACATAGACAATAAAATGCATTCCCATGGACAGCGTGGGTGGAAGAGTGAGAGATTTATTCATTCCTTAAGTACAGCTGTTCCATTTCTAAATTTATCCTTGCACTTCAGCACTGTAATTTATGTTTCAAAATCACCCAGATAAGTGTGTCATACCAAAAAAGAAACTAACTTCTCGCAATCTGACATACAAGAACCACCATATCAAAACTCTCAATCAAAGTGAAGTGGGATATTTAAAATGTACTTAGATCTGAGATTCTGCAATACAGTAACAAAGGATAAGCACATCCAGACTTCTTCAGTTTATTCAATTTTGTTATTGATTATTTCCAGTCAACTGATAGAATGGGTTATACCTCACTGCAACAAGGGAGGAAGTAGCCATTGTCTTATTTCAGCCACCTCTCCTTGTATATATAAGCAGGCACCTAAAAAGATAGTAGCCATCAAATAAACAGCTTTAAAGAAAAAGGCACAGGCAAGACACATCTGGGCAAAGGTTTCATCAGTCATCACTTTGTATTCTATGAAAGAAGGGCAAAGAAATTAAAAATGTGGAGTGATAAATGCAGCAAGGAAGCATCAGGCACAGAAGCACAGCCCTGAGGAAAAGTCGAGAGAGAAAGCTTTCAGGTTGAGTGCAGGCTGAAAGGGGGTTGGAGCTGAAGAGTAAAAAACTATCTTCACTGGTTTAATTCCTGCTGTAGTCAAGGTAACAGGCCCTCATATATTCTTTCTAAATAAGCAAGATTACATCAAAGAAACACCTGACTCAATTTCCAATTTCTCTTCTTAATTTGAGCCACCAACAAAACCTAGAATTTTTGGCTAACCACTTAGCTCAAAGAAGTGGTACATTATTTCCTATTGTTCTCATCAATTGAAGTTCCTTCTTCCTTTTCTGCTACTGCTTACTAGAAATATAAGAATAATGACATTTTCAATATTGTGCAATCTGCAGATGAAAGACATTCAAGAGTTTACCTCTATAACCCTTCTCATGTAAAACTTCTGCTGACGTCATGTAAAGTAATTCTCTGTTCTAACCAAGACATGAACAGTCACATTGTCCCTATGATTCTCTAGTGCTTTGTAATGAATATTCATTATCATCTACATAATTCACTGGAAAATGCATAATAAGAAGCCTACATGCCATTTAAGACTATCCTACTGCCTTTGCAGCAGCAGATTCTGTAACAGTCTCTCTTGTTTATAAGCAGAATGGAATTATAGATAATTATCTATAGACTAGTCCCTTTGCCTGAGAAATCAGGAGGAGAAACTGATTATACTAGTTAGATATTTCACTGGTGCCATTCTGTTCATTTACAAAGGATGTACACAAAGTCCTGTTTCCCTTAACACTATAGGTAAAAAAAAAAAAAAAAAGCATCAAGCCAAACCTGTGCTTCAAAAAACAGTTCCAATCAGCTCCTGCACACGCTGCAGGTGCACATGAGAGCACTTCAAGGCTCTGGTGCACTCCCCAAGGCTTGGAGCAATGTTCAGGTGAACAGCTCTAGCCTTGCATTCAATTTTAGGCACAACAGGACCCAGCAATAAAGTTATTACAGGTATTTTGTGTAATAACTTTGTGGTTTATTCCCTGTTTTATTGCATCATTAATTGCATGAATGTGTGGCCTGTTAAACTCGTTAATCATGTCTTAAAAGTAACATCTGCCAGGGGCCTGATGCACAGATCTGCCGGCAGTCATTGCTCCACCCTCTCTGCCTGTGCACTTCAGAAGAGAAGCCTTTTTGGCTTCTAATAAGGCATAGCTGAGATGTCTAGTAACTTAGGCAGTAGCTTCTATTGCTTTAAGTCTTTCTTCACAAAGGGGCATTTAAGCACTCCTGAATTTAGCATGGATGAAGGCTGTGTTTTAGTACACCCATCAGTTTTACACAGGCCTGTGTATACACATCAGCTTTACACCAGGTCTGTGATTTATGGTAGCACTTAACACCTTCGGTAAAACAACAGAAAAAGAGAGAGTGTGCACATGCATATTGGTGAGGGAAATTTGTTTGAATAAAATAAAAACAGAGGGAATATTAGCTCAAACTTCAAATTAAACCTAAAGGGGGAAAATGTTTGATATTTGAAGAATGATGTTCTTTAATTGATTTTCACATCTTCACTTTTTAGTTTGATTGAGATAATTACTCAAATACCATATTGCATAGAATTTTCAAATTAAGTATAATGAAAAAAAGCCAAAAATCTAATGGGATAAAATTTGTTTAATGTTTCCAGAACTAGATCAGTCAAATAAGCTTTAAGGAAGCACCTAACTTTCTTGATCTTTATTTGCTGCTGAAGCACCAAATGATTAATTACCTATTATTAATTAAGATCCTTAACAGCATTTATGTTATATCTCTTATAATCTTCTCTCCATTTCCACTTATAGTGAGCACTGCTTGCCAACTCATAGACCTTTGGCTTCTTCTAACTTTCCTCCTTGTCTAAAGAAAGTTATTTGTTTGCTTTTTATCTCCAAAGTTATAAATCAGAGATGTACAGCAAGACAATCTCAATAATCATCCCTCACCCTATTATCTTCTTACAATATGTTAGTTACATACTTGTAGTATGGAAGAATCTCAGGCGCAAAGCTAGTGTCTAATAAAACTACATGTCTGCCTATCTCCTTTTTTTAAAACTAGGCTAAATACATACACAATGGAGAACCAGCGAAACAAAGGGGTCACTAACTCAAATTGTCCTGTAGTTGGTATTGAGCTAATTCTTCTATTTATTTCATACTGCAGTAAACTGGGTAATATATTTAACCACTATAATCTTAGAAAGGTAAAAGAAAACACGTGTACAGCCATCACTGATTCCCACTTACCAAAACGTATGTGCTAGCAATATTATGCCAACCCACTTTAAAAGTCAATCTTCAGTAATGTCTTAATTCACTTTAGTTTGGTAAGCTATTATTCAAGGAGAAGCTTGTGTTCTTAAGTCACATTTAAGCATTTTTTTAAATCTCCCTGTACATGTTAGAAGGAACATTTGATATATGGGACCACTCAACCAGGACTTCAGTAAATATGTTTTTATATACTCTTTTGCCCTCAAAGTTTACCTGCGACTTTAAGAATGATTCAGAAGCACAATGTTGTTTAGGGTTTTTTTAAATTCCAATGATATAATTACAAAAACACAAAGGAGACATGGAGAGAGAGAATACCACAACAGGCCTAAATTTGAATCTGTGAGATTCACACATTGAAAACAACTATGTTGCCAGCAAGCCTCACGTATACATCACATCAGAAGAAGCTGTGATTTTAGGAGTGTGATGACAGTTCTATATCCATAACTCTGTCCTAACAAGGCACATGCGTTAATCAGTTTACATCAAAGTTACTGGGAACACAAGGTCTATGACTAATTTGCATCAGAGTGAACAGATTGCAGTTAAAGTCAACTTAAGTTTGGAGGTGCAGCAAAGAGCTTCCAGTGATCCCAGAATACAATACTGCATCTTTTTCCAAAACCTCTGTGTGTGTTCACATTTGATCTTTAAGCCACCTTTTACCATCACTATGTTATACAGCACATCCAGATACTGTACAGTTCATATTTTTACTATTATTATTACAGATGTAGGGAGCCACTATAAAAAGGACACAACGGCGGTGAAATATACTCAACACAAAGAATAATACCCCAGGGCTATGTATCCAGCAATTTAAGTTATTTTTGTTCCTAAAAATATGTCTACTTTTATATATGTGATGTTATTTGTGAGAAATAGCACTAAATAGTGAACCAAGCCTGGGACTGGGAGGCTAGAACTCCTGGGCTAGAATTCTGATATGTTGCCAACTTGACATGGGCCACAGGGGAAGAGATTGTTTTGTTCTTCAATTTCACCTATTTGTGAAGCTGAACAGAATATCTAGGTGATTCGTTTTAAATTTTGTGCAGGACATGAGAATTTTTTTCTATGGACATCAAGTAGGTTTTCCCTAAGTTTGAAAGCTTTGAGAGCAATAGATAACCAAGCATGTCAGTAATTCCAAGACTGCTTCATCTCTCCAAGATTATAGTTTTCTCAGTCCAACCGGCACAACATGCCTATTTCTGTAGTTACAGGCTCTTTCTTACCACCTTCCTACCTTGACGGTGTTTCTAAGAATGAGTATCACAAGGCAAAATCATTGCCTTGAATAAGATAGTTAGCCTTCATTTCAAACACAAGCTTCCTATTATTGTACAGTACATTCAGGAATTCAAATCCAAGTGCAAAAAAAAAATTGCTTGGAAAATTCTGTGCTAAACCACAGTATAGAACAGAGACACATCCTTTATCTGGTTCATTTGTCAGCTAGCCAGTTCTCGTAATGACAAACCAAGAATGTATATTGTGACAAACTGAGAAAAAAATCCTGTAAATATGGCAGAAAAGAAAAAGCATCTATCCTAGGATTTGCTTATGTGTATTCTGCATAGTATTAGAAACAAATTTTAATGACCCCTTTCCCCCTCCTCCCATTTTGTGTTTTTTTCTTTAGCCTACAGCTTAGAAATCAGCATTCTGGCTAACAAGTCGCCCCTGAAATATTGTTTACCTTCTGAAACCACCAGTTATGGTCACTAAAGCGTCTGGTAAAAACATGCACACAGTATCCTTGATAAGTAGGCTCACTGCATCTGCTTCAGCCTTAGATACATAGGAAATAATGTCTTCATAGTGGAGAAACCCTGAAAAGCAATATTATATGATAAGCAACACGTTTTGATCACTGGGTAAAATATTTAGGACACACAGCATTAAGGAAGCCAGAAATAAAGCTGATGGTAACCTTCTCACAAAGAAAACCTAAAAGGACTACTCAATTCATATAAAGGACATGAGACTGCCGACCATTAGGTGCATGGTCAGGGTTATGACTAAATTGCTCTCTGAATTATGTACCTACCTGGAAGTTACAAGTTTGCTATAGAAATTACTGGACAGAGTGTCATTACATGTGTTGCATAGGATTTCAGACTAGATCTTCTTTTCTTCTTTTTGTGTCTCTACACTACATTTGGCCATTTTGTTATACATGCTTGTGCCCATTTATTGTACTTTGTGAGATCTTTCATTGTACGTGTGCCTTCAAGCAATGGGCATTGCAGCAGGTGTTGCACTCCAAACCATGATTTTGATGATTTTCAGACTATATATTCATAGTGAAGTCTGTGCTTTTAATCGCTCAAAAGATTATTTTACTTTCATGATATTTAAATTATGATGCTACCTCTCGAATGCCAATTCAAGAATGTTCTTATTTTCCCAAGAACATAATTGGGAGGACCTGATGATAAAGATTTCAGGCTGTCATAAAAATGCCAGTCTTCCACTCCCGTCCTGTGCTGGGCAATGACATTGCCCTGAGGTTCAGTCCTGTCACACAAAGTCTTTACACATCAGGATTGGACCCCCACCTGCCTACACTGGGCCCTACACCACTCCCATGCACGAGGCTCCTGACACTATTTGAAGATAGGGCCTCACCTGTATTGCCCCCACTGAGCCCCACATGCTGGTGTCAGGCTCTGAAGCTCCACGCTGCCCCCCACCCAGACCCTAGATCAGGGCCTGCACCTCCCTGCACACCTCCCTAGTGCACAGGGCCACAGCCTGCAGGGCTTCCCACCAACCTGCATGGAGCCCCATAGGCCAGATAACATGGCACCAGGGGCCAGATCTTGCCTGTGGACTGGGGGTTGAACCCACTCTGGTCTTGAGTTGCCAGGCTGGGTACCCTAAACTGCAGAGCCAATTTGCTCTATAATTCAAATTTGCTTTCTTTTCTGCCCAGAGCTTATGTACCAACCTGGGGTTTCTGGGAAGTTTGTTCCCTCTAGTCTTTCCTAGCTCTAATGCTGGGGGGTCAAGGGTAAATCCCCATGGTGTGTAGCACTATGGTCATAGCCCCATTTGGTGTAGCCACACATGAGCTCTCAGTGTGGGGTGTGGCCAGAGTCCCTTCTTTCCTGCTGCTCCAGAACCCAGGGATTGAATGCTGCCACTGCCTCTCATCCCTTCCTTTTCCTTGCTGCTGAATTCAGTTGGGTAGAAGAGGAAGGGGAAGGGCAAATAACGGCACCCATGGGCTTTGGAGCTACCTAAAAGCAAGGCCTACAGCCAGACCCCACTCCAATCAGCAGATATGCTCAGAGTTCCCTGCTTACATGGAAGAGTCCATAATGACCACGCAATGAACTCAGAGCTCACTGAGCATGTACAACACAGGCAAAGTGACGGGGTGCATCAATCCCCCTTGCCCTGTTCTTGGATCCACTACTGGCTGGGGTCAAACAAAACCTTCCTTAAAACAGGGTAAAGATAGCCTCTCCTATCCTACAGCTGTGTTTGGGATCAAGCAGGGTACCCTCAGCCCTCAGTTTCTTTCCACTGCAGACCTTTACCACTCCAAGAAACTATTCTATTTAGTTCCCGTCCTCCTTTCAGTTCTGAGCTAAAACTCCTTCCTTCAGACACAGTGATCACAGCTTAGGTCTATACTTCATTTCTGGCAGATTTGCACAACTCACAAGAATCCTGTTCTACCCCAGCAACATTCCTCCCTGCACGTATCTCCTGCCTCTTTTGTAGAGTATCAACAGCACAACCTTCCCTTACAACACTTCCCCTTTTTATTGAACCACTGACTGCCTTTTTATCCCCCAGCATCCACCTATTAGCCAGTCTTTGCCACATAACTTTACTAATTTCCTCCCAGATAAACTGGGTCTGGGACAGATGTAGTCAATCCTCTTCAAGGGCCAAACTCATTGAAAATGGGGAGCACCTATATCAGATGGTGAAAAAAAGACCCACTAGACCCACCAATTTGTCTTTAATCTGGGACTGTATGAACCTGGGTGATTTCAATATCTGTCTCCCTTCTCTGATAGTTTGAATGCCTGTAAATCAGTCTAGTACTTCTGTGAGTACCTAGCAATGTCATTTCTAGAAACACCCATCTCAAAGATGACCCTTCCTGGAATTACATGATTTTACCTAAGAACAGGAGCTTAGAGGCTGATTGACATTCAAAATATCCTGACTATCTATATGTCAGTCTGAGACGCTTATACTCAGAGGGTCTCAAGCAGGTCCAAGAAGGTGATCCTTCCGCTCTATGCGGCACTGGTCAGACCGCAGCTGGAGTACTGTGTCCATTTCTGGGTGCCGCACTTCAGGAGGGATGTGGACAGCATTGAGAGGGTCCAAAGGAGGGCCACCCACATGATCAGGGGTCAGCAGGGCAGGCCCTATGAGGAGAGGCTGAGGGACCTGAACCTGTTCAGCCTCCAAAAGAGAAGGCTGTGAGGGGATCTAGTGGCAGTCTACAAACTAGTCAAGGGGGACCAGCAGGCATTGGGAGAGTCCCTGTTCCCCCGAGCACTACAAGAAACAACGGCCACAAGCTAGTGGAGGGTAGTTTCAGGCTAGACATTAGGAGACGCTATTTCACTGTCAGGGTGGCTAGGACCTTGAACCAGCTTCCAAAAGATGGGGTCTGGCTCCTACCCTGGGGGTCTTTAAAAAAAGGCTGGACGAACATCTGGCCAGGGTCATTTGACCCCAGTACTCTTTCCTGCCACGGCAGGGGGTCGGACTAGATGATCTCCTCAGGTCCCTTCCTACCCTACCAACTATGAAACTATGGTTTGATCCTGCAGACTGATGAAATAGATTCAGATATGATTTTTAAAAGGAAGAGATGTACCCAAAATTATACACTGAGTGTCAGCGAATGTGAATAGAAAATGAGGGTGAATATAAGCAAGGCAATCAGAGATCCTAAGTTGATATAAAAACACACTGGGGGTGCCAAGAGAAAATATACCAACATAAGCTCCTTCTAGATTTATTTCAACAGGTCGATTTACTCCTGAACTTGGTCCCTAGTAGGTGTGGCATTCCAATTAAAGTTTCATTGAATTTAAACAGTTGCAAGATCTGTTTGGAATCAGAATTTGGGCCATTCTTAGTCAAAGGATGAAAGACGCTGTACATGTGAGTGCAATATCTGTGAGACTGCACCAGTACTTAGTATACAACTTGCCTCACTCTATAGGACTTTATTAAACCAAAGAATATTTCACACACTTCCCATATTAATGTTTAGAATGAAACCACACTTCACCTCATTCTGAACTGTACCTTGTGCTAATTCTGCTCTGCTGGAGCTCCCATTATGTGAACATGTTTGATTTTAACAGCTAACTTTATGACACAAATTTTCCTGTCATTTTTTTCAGCCTTACTCTACAGTATATGATAAGGGTCATGTTAACACTTTTATGAAGAGGGAGCCTACCAAGCCATCTAAAGTTTGTCGGACTGTGTAGCTCAAAAGAAGAGTTTATTGAACTTATATAAGCCTTCATTCAACATCAGTAGGCCTGTCAGCATCTCCTTTTATTATGGGAAGTGTCAGGTAACTTTAATAAGACACAATTTCTTATAACTTTGCCACACTTTAAACATCTGGGCTGAAGTTTTCCATGCTGAGCACCTGCTGGAAAATTTTCAGCTAAAATGACTGAGCTATTTCTTTAAGGCCAAGAAAAATACAGTATTTTGTCCATGTTAAAAAAAATTCTTGTGATCTTTTCTTTGAAAAGTTGTCCTGCCCCATGCTTTGACAAGGTGTGGCCTTTCCGCCAGTCATGTTCCAGTCATGTCCCCCATGAATCCACCCAAATGTGGCAAAATAATGAGCTTCAGTTAATAGAAATCCCTGTTGTTAGCTGCTAAATTACCCAAAGATGCAGTGCAAATTGAGCAAGTACCAGCCTCAAGTTAAGTGGAACTTTCTCTATAACTGCAGTTTTGGACTGCTGTGGCCAATGTAAGACCTGCATATGGGAATCTGACCTGAGTGTAATGAGCCTGTTTCTCCAATACTTTCATTGTTTACAATACTGGGCCCAAGCAGCAGGGAATAGGAAACTGCCTGACAAAGGTAACAAGAGCTGGCTTGCAGGATTGGACCGGAGTAGAGGCATAGATTCACACAAGGCTCCTGGGTAGGGAGATGATATGAATTGTGACTTGCATGAGTTGGCAGAGGGAAATGGACTAGAAGTCAGGTTGGAGGACAACTGGGAGAGGATGAACAAAGAGTCTGAGACCAGGAGTTGGGGAAAGAGGGGGACTAGCTAGACAAAAAGAGTACAACTGAGAATTAAGGATGGGGAGAAAGATGTAGAAAGGGAGATAAATTTGATGAGCTAATCAGGTGAGGGAGAGGATTAGCAGTAGTTGGGCAGGGGAATTGGGATAAGAACATAGTGGAGCACGCACTGAGATTCCAAGCAACCCCAGTAGGAAAAAATGGAACAAGGAGCTAGTAGAAATGAGGAACAGGGGTCAGAGAGGCAACTGGAGTCCATGTAGGAAAGAGACACAAACTGGACAAAGAATGAAAAGAAAGGAAATTAGGAATGGATAGGCAAAGAGATTGTTACTGGACAGTCCAGAAAAATGAAATTAGGAATTACAGCATAGGAAGACTGCATCTGGGATCAGAAGACCAAAGAAAAGAGGACAAGATTGGGATGAGGTGCTGGAATGGGAAGACGGGGCTTAGCAAAATCAGGCCAGAGGGAACAGAGCTGAGGGTTCACACCTGAAAAAGACAGGACACCTGAGAGGACTGAAAAGAAGAATCCAAACCCAGTAGAAAGCACTGCTGTTTCCAGCTTGGAATGGAACCTGATTCCTGAGCTTCACCTTTTCTCTGCTATGAGTGAACTTCTGAGAAATGCACTAGCACCTGTCCCTTCTATGCCTTCTAGCAGTTTTACTATTTGGAGAAGGGCCTCTTCTTTAATCTATGAAATTAAATGCAGGAACTTTAATAATGTTTTAGAGTCAAGCCCTCACATGTTAGGAAATGCCAGAATTATGCAGTTTTGAACAGTTTCTTTACTACATAAATCCAGAATCATTCTCAAAGCAGGTCTAAAGCACTGCAAAACTCAGGGAATCAGTGGAAACAATAGCACATGCTCATGACATTAAATACTGTATCATGATTCATATACACAAAAGGGCCAGATTAATATTGTACAACCATAGCTCTGCCATTTCCTAAAATCTCAGTGCTTGAACTCACAACTACAATAATGTTCTTTAACATAATTATTTGCGCGTAAAAAAAATAAGGAAGATTTTTTTAAAAGAAGAGATTATATTATCTAATTTAAAGAATGAGTATAGGTTTTAACATATGCATATGTTTTAAAAGAAAACATCCCTTAAAATAATAGTATGAGATCTCAAAAATTCTTTTTAATATCATAATTAAATATTAAAAATATATTAAGGCAAGAATATGAAAAGGGCCCTATTTAAATTTTGAAAGACCTATCTAATTAATGCTGTTTTCAAGGTAGTAGAGCACTGAGAGACAGATTTTTTAATTGGATTTTACCTGCTATCTGCATTCGTGACAGCTTCAGAGTCTTCTCAGCTTTTACTTCTTCCAGAGTTCGAAAACCCATTCTGTACCATTTTTCAGTTGTCTTCAACCCCACTCCGAACACAGAAGTAAACAACTAAAGCAAACAGAACAACACACATTTCAGTGAAATACAAACAATTGGTGGGGCAACACAGTGCAGCTTTCTAAGGGTACGCTGGATTAAGAGAAAGTAAAACACAAAAAAGTCAAAAAACAAACAGGCTTGTTAGCAGGACTATAACGAGAGAAGAATTCATCCGTATCTAACTAACTTCAGATGAGTATAAATTCCTGTGTACAACTCCCCTGTTCAGTCAAGTGCTTTTATACATTTCTTGTCTTTTAGGAACTTAACATCTAAAAAATAATAGGTAGTGTCCCACCCACTTGGTATGAGTTAGTTATAAGTGCACTTTGATCAAAAATTATCAGTAGGACTAAGAAACTATATTTGTTTTCAGCATTCAGGGATGAAAAGAGTAATTTTATTAATCTTTATGGACATATACAGACATTCAAAAACTAGGGGAGGAATCAATTTCAGCAGTGACAATGCGTAGGGGGCACATGGGGGTGCATGTACACCCCCTGAGAGTGTTGGTGCACCCCCTGACAGGCCGCGCTCCCCGCTTAGGTGACAGGCAGGGGCACTGGTGGCCCTACTGTGAGTGCCTGCAAGGGAGTGGGAGCGCCAGATAAAGCGCCACAACCAGTTCCAGAAGCGCCGCGGCCACTTCCTGGTCACCGTGTTCGGCCATGGGAGACCTCCCCTTCCCCCCCACCCCACCGTTCCTTGACTGGTTGCTGGGGGGGGAGGCACATGCGCCCCCTGACTAAGGTAGCACCAAGCGCCCATAAATTTAAGTTATGTGGTTTTCTCTAAATGACCTTGCTTAGATTGGGAGCAAACTGCCTCCCTTTTGGGGAGGGAGGCATAGCAGCATTTCTGCATGCCTCTTATTGTGCCCTGCAGACTCTCTAGGGTGCTAGAGACTGCCAAGCACCCAATCCACCCTGACTGGCTGCCAATCATGGGCAACCATGCCCCACATCACACACCAGGACATCAGTATGCAGCCACCCCTCACTCTGGAGAAACATGAAGCTGGCCAGCCCCAGAAGTCTGCTACATCAGGGGTTCCCAACCCCCAGGCCATGGCTCAGTACTGGGCCATGAAGGGTTGGCTGCCAGACTGGAAGTGAGCACAGACTGGAAACCCCAGACCAGCAAACCACAGACTGGAAGTAACTGGCATACTGCGGACCGGCAGCCAATCCTTTTTTATACTGAGTATAAAAAAAGGTTGGCTGCCAATTCACAGTTTGCTGGCCCATGGCCACTTCCAGTCCACAGTTTTATGATGGTCCTCAGCATTAAAAGGTTGGGAACCTCAGTGCTACATCACCAACCAGTTCAGCATGCATAATCCACAACCAGAAAGGCCATCCAAGAGGTGCGCTGGTCATCTAGAATGTCCTGGCCAACTGCTTCATCCACCGCAACAATCCACAGGAGGTGGTCACCAGCTTCCACTGCATGGGCTTCCCCAACTGCAGGAGGGCCATGGCCAGTACCACATCCCCATCCTCTGCCCACCCAAAGGCAACCTGTGCTTCCTCCTGCAATGAATTTCCTGCCAGTGACTCCTCAGGCCCACAGTGATGCCATACATCCACAAGAGCTATTTTTCTGTTGTCCCCAGTTTCATCTTTGGTACTGTCATCGACCTTTCCTTCATGATTGGGGACCTGGCTTAACCCATCCTGCCTTGGCTCACGAAGCCCTACTGGGGGCAGCTGGACTGCCTAAAGGAGCATTTCAGCTACTTTCTGAGCAAGTGCTGCATGACTGGTGATTTCTCCTTTGGCCACCTCAAGGCATGCTGGGAGGATCTCACCACATGCCTCAAGGTGGAAGAGGAGAATCTGCCGAAATTCATCATTGCTAGATGCATCCCCCACAAGATCTGTGAAACCAAGGAGGAGGTTTTCCACAAATCCTGGACAGAGGTGGCACAGCATGCAGAGCATCATCATGCTGTTACCTCCCCACCACACTGGTTGTGGGCATAGCCCACCCGCTTCCCTCCCCCCACTTCTCTCCAGCAACTTTGAATTTTTGCCAGTGCCTAGGCCTCCATCACAGTCATGTGGAGTGGGGTAGAGCCATAATGTCCTGGGCAGAAGGGCATCCTTGCTTAGTTCCAAAGTATTCACCAGAACTAAGGGGAGGCTAGGCGTGAGTGCTGAGTGGCGCTCCATGTGTGGTTGCTGCACTGGTAGTCAGTGGAGTTTTGGGAGTGCTCTGTGTGTGTGAAAAGGGGGCAGCGAGAAGCCATTGGAGGAGTGGAAGCAGAACATTTGTGACAGTATTGTCAGAAACAGTGTCCTGGGGGCTGGATGTGTGGCCACGGTCTGCAGGGTCAAGAACCAATGGGGGTGCTCCCACAAGGAGGAGGGCAATGGGCATAGGTTTGGGGCCCAGGGTCCTGATGACCATGGCATTGGAGCTTTCCCCATGGTCCTGCACATTGTGGTCTGTGCATTCAACAGTGCCTGAGAAAATGTGAGGGGGACTCAGGTCTAGCTGCAGGTGGACCTTCACTCTGAGATCCTGTGATGAACTGGGGACCAGCACCAACAGGCCAGAGACCTTGGGGACCACCCCCATTAACATACCTTGCACCTCACGGACCCCAGGGACCTGCTCCCAGGCACCTGATTGTACTTTCATCCTAGGACCTCCCTGTACCTCCTCCTCCAGTGATGTTCCTGCCAGTGACTCCTCAAGCTCCCCAGTCGTGCTGTACATATGTGAGGTGGTGATGGCCCTGTCCATGCTGAAGAAGTGGGACAGCTCCTCAGAGAAGGGTATGCTCTGCCTTTTGGCTCCGAATTTTTTATTGGTGTTATGCACACACTTGTACTGAATCTTCATCCATTTAATCTTTGGTCCAGCCCTGCACCCAGTCCTCATCATGGCTCTATACTTACATCTGTTGGACAATGTGTTTGAACACACCCTTGTTATGCTGCTCTCTGGCAGAGCTGGTCCTGGGTCTCCTGCTCACCCAGGGGGCAATGAGATCCTTCATCTCCCCATGGCTTCAGTTGTGTGACCACAGTTGGGAACTGGAGAAGGATGGGATGGGTTCTTCCATGGTTTATGCTGGTACCCATGGGGTCTGAGTGTCTGTGAGTGGGTGAAGGTCTGGCTGTGAGGAGATGTAAGGAAGGAAGGAAGGGTGGTTGTATGTGGGTGTGGATCCCAGCACATGGCTCTCCCTCTCACTCCAGCTGGGTGTGGTCCCTGCTCCACAGTGACTGGGGCTCCACTGAACAGGCCACTCCCATGACCTCAAACTTTCCAGGGGCTTCTAGCAGGTGCCCCCATAATGGTGGCAATACCCCATGCCCAGGATCATTTCTGTGCAGACCTAGTCCTGATGTTCTGCCCCCTGCCACCCTGTTCAGGAGAGGGGCTGTCTATGCTGGGGTCCAGGTCACAGGGTGCCTGCCTTTGGCCTCTGAGATGTGGTGTGCAGATGCCAAGGTCAGGGTCCATGGGGCTGTGCCCAAGTGTAGAGGCATGGGGGTCCCTGGGGGTGCCAGGGTCAGTGTCTTCAGGGCTGTGCTTGAGTTCAGGGGTTATCTGGGGCTCAGTGTTGGGGTCTGCATGTATGTTGTAGGGTGCTACATGACAAGGTGTTGGGGGTGTGAGGGCATGACTCTGAGATGTGGGTGCCCAGGTCCCAGGGCTCATGCAGGGAACACAGATGCCTCACTTCTTGCTGCCTGCTGCAGCTGACAGGTGGCTGGAGGCAGGAGGCAGGGCTGTGATTCCTTAGCACTGGGAAAGCCCAGGGGCAGGGTCTGCTGGGTACTCAGCCAGAGCAGCCCAGCATGAGCCAAGTGCTACCACACTTCCTGCAAAACACGCTGAGATGCCAGAGGTCAGCAATCTGACTTGAATTGATAGGCAGAAAAAAGCTATTCTTCCAAACTACCACAACGACTTCATAGTATGAAGGAGAAAAAAAATGACCCAAAGTTTTCTACTTAGTCTATTTAGACCTAATTTGTTTCCATTTTTGAACTGCAAGCCTTTGCTTGTACACTTGAACTTTGATGCTACTCCACTCCCAGGAGATAGGATCAGTGAGAATAGTCTGGATCTTTAAAATCTACATGGATGGAAACAGATGTCAATGGAATTCTGGATACGGAGGGTATGTAAATAAAAACAGTGGCTCTATATTTTAAAAAGTAACTTACAAAATATAAATTTGGACCTGATTCTGATTAATTATTTTTCAAAATTCAATTCAATTTCAAATGAAAATACAGAGGGTGGGGGTTTTTTCAACTGTTATAAATACAGACTGACAATCCTGCAGGCCTTCTTACACTTCTCACTACTGGTTAGCCTTATTTGAAATATAGATTTCACATGAGTAAGGGCAGTAGCTTTTACATTTGCTAAATTGTATTGTGTTTGAGAATAGAGCAGTTGTTTGCCATGACCCTGCTTAAAGATAAGTCTTCCTGGCCTAAGACAGTACTGCTGCTTATCTTTTCTCTCTGCATACATCTTTCTCACAAACATCTTTTCTAGTGAAGGTGCCAGTATATGCTATCTGCCAGATTATATTGGGCCTGTGTCTAATTCCGTGCTGCTGTCCTCATTAATCCTCTCACCCTACACACAAATGTAATGGCACACTAGGAAAGATTTGGTAGGGATGGTCCCTACAATGATACCTGGGTCTTCCTACCCGACTAATCATAGCCAATGATGGTCCCAGGTGATAAACCTGGGATTATATCAAGCTGTACCTCTGGTGCGCCTCTAACTCTAAGCTGCTCTTTTATTGGGATAGGAGAGATAGTATTATCTCCCCCTAATATATTTAGGCTTAAATTGGTACAGGTGCAGAGGGAGGGGAAGTTGGGTCATTCAGGCTCTCCTGTTGCTACAGAAAGGTTTTTTATCACACCCATACACCCAGGTCTTGGGAAGACAGAGCTATGATCATTACCCTTTAGTTAATAAAATTACAACTCAGTGAAATTCGGGGTTTCTGCTTAATGGGA